GGGTTGTTTGTGCTTAAAGGCTGATTTATTCATAAATTGTTAGCGATGAGCGCTTTTTTCCCCATGCTTACTGCAGTGAAAGCAGTAACAGTCAGTTCTGGGGCTGGGGTGAAGGAAACTCGTTCTTTGCCATGGTGTAACTGTCCACTTGTTCTTTGCAGGATCTAGTGAAAAGCCATTTGATGTATGCAGTGAGAGAAGAAGTGGAAGTCCTGAAGGAACAAATAAAAGAATTAGTTGAAAGAAACTCTTTACTTGAACGAGAAAATGCACTGTTGAAATCCCTTTCCAACAACGATCAGTTATCCCAGCTGTCGAGCCAGCAGGCCCCCAGCAGCACGTCGCAGGCGCAGCCGCCACAGCCCAACGTCTCCTCCGCGTGAGCCTGTCCGTGCCACCGCCGGCTCTCGGCCCGAGCGAGCAGCCTGCTTCTCTTGTGTGTTTGGCCTTTTCAGTATTAGACAATCACCCTCCCGGGGCTGCCCGAGCGGCGGCCGCAGCGCTGCGGGGCGGAGGTGTCCGCGCTCCTCCTGCACGCCGGCGGCCGCGGAGGAGCCCTGCGGCCCGCGCTGGCTTGCCGGGGCTTCAGGAGGGAGTCTGTCAGAGCTTGGGTGGCTCTCCGAGGGTCCCATTGCTCCTGGGCTGCTGAGCCTTGCTGTCTGCTAAGGAGCAGCAATTCCTCTTCAGAGCCACTGTTCTTTTCATATAAGTAACATTTGCCTATGTTAGTTTCATTTATTTGTTTTATTTATTACAGGGCTGCTATTTTCATAATGTACATGAACAATGTCACAGAACTTTTGAATTTTTTTTAATAAATGTCTGTATGGGTAGAATGATAGGTGGGATTGCGTTAATAGATACAATGTCTAGGCAATAATTGAACAAAGAATCCTGGCATATTTCTAACACTAATGGCAATTGACCTTTGGTATTTATTTACGGTAGTAAAGATCCAGCTTGAATGTAAATTTTGTATAGAGTGTAAGTATGAAGACCATAGTGCATCTGTACAGGTAGTCACCAGTCCTTGTGATATAATAAATAAGTGATGGGCTATTTTGATGAAGAAAACTTTGCTCATTTCTGTTTCTACTTTTTAATAGAGAGAAGGGGGGCCATGATCCCTCTGCTTTTTGACATTTCGTTTTTGGTTTGGTTTTTTGGGTGGGAATAAAAAGCTGTGAAATTGTTCAACCTACTTTGTAACCAAAGAAGCAAAGCTGTATAATTGAGTTGGTTGTTGGTTTTTTTGTTTTGTTGTTTTGGTTTCTTTTTTATTTTATAATGCACATTCTTTATGTATTTTTATTTAGTGTTTTCTCATTCACAACTTTCTTTGCTGTCTCGCATGATCTGCATGACCTGTAATCTTTGAACCACTTCCGTACCTCATGTTTTTATCCAGCACTCTTAGTGTAATATGTACTAGTCTGTGAACAATGTCAATAAAGAGAAAGAACAGCTGGTGTTGGTGGAGCTAAGCTAGTGTGCTAGGCACTAGTTGTTAAAACAAATAAATGAAGTGAGCCATCTTTTGTTCATTTAAAATGGTGTTTTGAATTTCGTATGGAGAAAATGTTTTGTTACATTGCAGATTTAATGTATTTAATAAATGCAACATGCAGATTAAATGCAGTGTATACTGAGTATTTAAATTAAAAATGTACATTTCATAAATACAGTTTCAAAAAAGACCATCATTTGTGTAAACTAATACAGTGTGTCAAATTGATGTACAAATATATATATATTTTAACACATTTTCTGAAATTAAACCAGTTTTGTTGAATTCTTTGGCTGTAGATGTTGTTGCAGTATAATTAAATTCAGTAGCTCTTTTCTGAACAAAATGGAGAAAGTGTCAGTGAGGCAGTAACAGATCAATGCCAGGGTTACCACTTTTCATGCAACAGACTGGTTTCTTCCCTTCTAGGAGAAACATCTTCTGATGCTGTCAGTGGCTGCCTTAGGACTTTGGGTTTACACTGATAACTCTAAATAAACATCTGGGCCTGCCAGTCACAGGCCACTGCTGTGGATGCCTGCTTCAGTACTTGAGCCCTGAGCAGGTCTAACTCTGCTCAGGTTCATGTCAGGTAAAACAGGAAACATTGGAAACTGCAAGTTTTGGTGTCTTCGGATCTCAGAGAAATGTCCATGTCCTGGAAACTGAGAAGCATCTCTTCCTGGTAAGCATCAGGTCAGCACAGTTCAAACAACCCCGTGTTGTGTGCTTAGTAAAAAGTTCTTGCTAAGGTAGCACCAAAATGATCTTTCCATTAGGTGTGGATTGGTGTCTTTCTGCCTGCTGCACCCCTGTGCTGTGAGCACTGCTGGGAGACTTTAGTGCACACAGATTAGAAAGCAAAATATTCCAGTAGCTATGTGTGTTTCCAGTGTGATCAGTGGTTCACTCTAGCTGTACAGTGAGGATGATGCTGGTAAAGTAAGAAAAAAGGGATAAATTGGGATTTCTGGGAGGAAGAGTCCCTCAGGTGAGTAGTTGATTAAAATTTCTCAGAGGATACTCTGTACCTGTCAGTTCACTTTTGAGTGAAACAGAACAGAGACAACTTTGTGCACCTGACTCGGGTGGTTATTGTTTTTGTGCTGGGAGCAGAGGGAGCAGCCCTGCTCCCCTCGGAATGCCTGTTCTCCTGCGTGTGAGGTGTGAGGCAGGGACGGGTACATCCTTCACACCGGGGGGCTGCAGAGGCGCTTTCTCCAAAAGCAAGAAGCATTTAGTAAATCTGAAAAAGATGGAACAAAGATTGAACTGATCCTGTTAGAAAGCCTTTGCTTTGCTCTGCTCCTGTCAGGTTTGCTTTGGGAGTTTGTGTTTAGTTTTCTCTTACAGATAGGCTGTGTTCGGCTCTGGACAGCAGCTTGGCTTGTGAGAGGCCTGTGAGCTGGCAGAAAGGGTCTGGGAATGCTGCGGGCTCTTCTGGAGAGGCTGCCCGAGGAAAGGGACCGGCAGCTCTCACAGTGAGACCGCCGTGCTGTCAGAAATGTGCGGCTGCCGATGGCAGAGAGCCCCGGCGGCAGGCGGCCGCTGTGCCAGCCCGGCTCGGAGCTGCCCGGCCCGGCCCGGAGCTGCCCGGCTCGGAGCTGCCCGGCTCGGAGCTACCCGGCCCGGAGCTGCCCGGCTCGGAGCTGCCCGGCCCGGCCCGGCTCCTGCCGGTGCCCCGCACGCCGGCTCTGCCCGGTGGGGAGCTGCCCGCGGGAGCCGGCTCTCCAGACCGCACGCGGCTGCTCTAACACGCGTCTTCGGCATTGCTCCGTGGCTTTGGCGTGAAGAGAAAGGATTCGGCTGCTGCGTTCAGGGCAGCGTGTGCTTCAGCACGGGCTGCGAGCGGGCTCGTGGTGCCACAGAACGCTCCGAACGCAGTGAGGCTGGGCAGAGGCGGCTCCGAGCTAGGCCCGGCGTCTCAGAGAGGCCGTGACAGGAGATGCGGGGAAAAGCTACGGAAACAGTGGAGGAGGCGGAGGAAATGCTTACTGAGGAGAGCTTCCAGGCCGCGGCCCTGGCTCAGAGGTGAGCGTGTGCAGGAGACTGGCACAGCAGTGAGGCGGCTCCGGAGCAGGTGCCAGGTGAGGTGAGCACTGAGCGGCCCTTCCCCGGCTGCGACCGGAGCTTTGGGGCCGTGCCTGGAGCAGAGACCCTTCCCCTGCTGCGGCACAGACCCTTCCCTTCCCCCGACCCTTCCCCCGACCCTTCCCCGGCTGCCGCGGGCGGGTCCGGCCGTGGCGCAGCGGCACCTGCAGGGTCGGCGGCGGCCGCGGGGCGGCGCTGTGGGGCGGGGCGGAGCTGTGCCCGCACCGCCCCCGCCCGGTCCCGTTCCCATTCCCGTTCTCGTTGCCGGTCCCGGTCCCGGACTATCTCCGCAGCCCAGGATCCGCTTTCTCGGACCGGTTTCCCGTCGCTCGGGCTCTCGCGCCGTGCCGCCCCCCGTCCCCGCGAGGCTGCTGCAGAACGCGTGGCTCCGGTCGCCGCGGCTGCCCGGCTGTGCTGCGTGCGCAGAGGGGCGGGACGCAGCGCCGGGGACGCGGCTGCGGTCCTTTGTGCGGCTCCAGCAGCTGTGAAAGGCCGGGCGGGACAGCAGGGACCTCTCGCCTTGGGAAGCAAGCCGTATGCCCCTCCTGATGTCTCACTGGAGCGCAGTCCTGCAGCCAGCCTTGAGAAGGCTTCACAGGAGACAAGAAAAAACCACTGAGATAGAAGTGTGTCGCAGGGGGTTAATGCCGTCACCTGACAAGCTCAGCTCCCTGAAGAACGCGGCCATCCGCGGCTGTGCGCGGGGTCACAGCCAGGCCGGCACAGCTGTCAGCTGCCAGGACCTGGAAGTGAGGAGCTGCATCTCACCAGGGGAAATAAACGGGTATTGCTCTGGCAGGTTTCAGAAAGAAACAAGCGTGGTGTTTCACAGCTTTTGCTCTCGGATGTGCGGAGCCAGGGCACAGCTGGGGCCAGAAGGCCCCTCCAGAGGTGCCCCAGCCAGCCCAGCTCTGGCACTGCAGCTGCCCGTGACTCCTCACACAGGTGCCACTGCAGGGCACAGCGCTGCACACACTGCTGTAGCCAGCTTGCACCAACGCAATTTACTGAACTTCAAAGAACCAACTGGTACAAGCCACCCTGAACGTTCCCACAGGCCTTGAGTACTGCTGTGCTGGCACAGCCAATGACTCGGGCAGCCGAGCAGGAGCTGGCCAGACCCCTGCGGCCTCTGTGGCATTCCCGGGGAGCAGAGAGGTGAGAGGAAGGCAGCTGCCGAGCCCCTGTGGGGGATGGCTGGTCCCCAGAGGGAAGCAGAGCGGTGGCTGGGTGTATCGTGGCAGCCCCAGCTCAGGCCCGGCACGCAGACAGCTGAGCACAGGGGTGCCCCATGGCATGGCAGCTCCTCCCAGGGAAAAGCCAAATAATCCCTGTTTGGTGTGAGTGGCGAGTTCCAACAGCCGGCAGAGCCCTGCTTTGCCCACATCACAGTGAACACAGCTTGTGTTTGGAAAGAACTTTATTTAAAATCAGCGATGACACAACTTCCCCGCCACAGCACACGAGTGTCCCAGCACAGGGTCCCCGTGCCCTGGGCGGCCCTGGCTCACACCAGTGATTCCATATGGAAATACAACGTGTACAAAAGATCTGCTCCTTCACGGCTAACAGGCAATTCATTTAGCTCAACCCATTTTGTTTTCTATTATTTCTAGTGTAACCAGACTTAAAATTTATCTTCTAAGAAACCTGGAGAAAAGAAATCTTCCTTTAGCAACTGTGTGCACCAGCAGAGCAATTCCCACCACCTTTGTCACCAGGCAGACAGCAGAGCCATCAGGAGTCAGGGCCATCAGCAGGGAAATATGATCAATAGCAGCATTTTCCATGTGATCTCAAATTACAGTCGTCTACAGAAGGAATTGTGATCACCAGTAGGGAAGCAGTTAAATACTGAATCCATTGTTAAAAGAAATCGAGTTGAAGGCAGGTTTTACCTTAAATAGGATTAAATATATATTGCAAGACACACCACACTCTGCAGGGGCTGCACATACAGAAGCAGAACTGTGGGCAGGGAGGCAGCACGCCCCCCTCTCCACACCCAGTATTCCCACACAACATTGTCAAATTTAAAACTATCACCACTTGTTGAAAGTTGTCCAAGAAGTATTTACAGCACGGGCACGGCCGGGAGAGGTGTGAGGAGCCACAGGTCTGGCCACGGTGCTCCCGCAGTCCATGGAGCTGCCGCAGCGGGTCCTGCCGGAGCAGCTCTGCCCGGCCGTGCCAGCTCCTCACCACCCCAGAGCCCTGCACAGAGAAGCGTTTTGCGTGGATTGGGACAAAGCAGCAGGCGGTGCCGTGGTGTGGGGACGGCGAGCACTGCCACATGCTGCAGTGGGCCCGCCCTGCCCTGCACACACGGAGGATGCAGGGAGGCTCCTCGGGAACATGCTGCACAGTCGGGCTCCAGCCTCCACAGGAATCCTGGCTTCCAGCGTCAAATGGAACCGTTTCCAGCTACACAGCGAGGGTGACACTGATCTGGGACCGTGTTTACAAGAGATGCCAGTTCCTATGGACCTACGTCGCGTATAGCTCCACGTACTACAGAGAGCAGGCCGGATCTTCAGCGAATAAGTAGGTCCACGATTGTAGATCAACAACAGACTTTTATTGCTTTATACATGTGGTGCTGTTCAAGGCACTGTGGCACGGGCTAGAAAACTCGGAATGACTGGTGAAGGGACCTGGAATGCGACACGGCCGGTGCCGCGGCGGCCGGGCCGGCGGGCCATGGCCAGCCCGGCCCTCACATGCCCATCCGGATGCTCTGGATGATCTGGAAGATGGCTGCAAGAGAGCGGAGAGGGGAGCGCTCGCGGCAGCGCCGGCAGCGGGCCCGCGGCGCGAGCCCCCGGAGCGGCAGAGCCGGGCGCAACCGGGGCAGAGCCGGGCCCGGAGCGGCAGAGCCGCGTCCGAACCGGGCCCGGAGCGGCAGAACCGGAGCAGAGCCGGGTCCGAACCGGGCCCGGAACGGCAGAAGCGGGTCCGAACCGGGCCGGCAGCCGCCGCCGGGCCCGGCCGCCCGCGCGAGCCGCTCACCTGATCCGCAGACCACGAAGATGAAGAGCGCCAACAGCCAGGGCCCGACCGACGCCTTCTCCTCCGGGGCCGTTCTCTGCGAGCACAGCAGCGCCGTCAGCGCGGCCCGGCCCCGCCGCCCCCGCCCGCCCGGCCGCCCGCCCGGCCGCCCGCCCGGCCCCGCGCACCGAGGTCTTGGCGACGTTGCCGCGCTGGGTGATGTTCTTGCTGTGCTTCTCGTTGGCCATGCGGATGCGCTGCTTGGCCACCATGTCCGCGCTCGGCCCGGTCCGGCCCGGCCGCCGCTGCCGCGTCAGCACCGCGCGCGCCGCCCGCCGGGAGCGCGCCGGGCGCGGCCCCGCCCCCGCGGACGTGGCGCGCGCTGCGGCCGCCGCGCCGCCGCCGGAACCGGAACCGGAGCCGGAACCGGAACCGCCCCTCCGCCCGCGCCGCAAGATGGCGCCGCCCACGCCGCTGCTGGCAGGTGCGTCGACCCGAGCGGCGGCGGGGCCGGTGCGCGGGGGCGGCAGCGGAGTTAGGCAGCGCTGGCTCCGAGCCCCTCCGGTGCCCCTCCGGTGCCCCTCCGGTGCCAGTCGGCGTCCGCCGCTCGTCCTCTCCTCAGCGCGCGCTGCCGCGGCGTGGCCAAGCCCGGCCCCGGTCGCGGAGTTCTTGACGGTGAAATGGCCAAGGCCGGCGCCGGTCCGGGCTCGGCGGGCCCCGTGCTCAGCGGCAGCCCAGAGCAGGGCCCGGTCGCGGCTCCGCCCGAGCAGCCGCCCCGCCGGGCCTCCCCCGCGGCTCTCGGGCCTGCCCTGCCGCGGGGCCGCGCTCCGGGCGCGTTCGGGGCCCGGCCGGCGCGGGGACAGCAGCTGCGGGCAGCCCGCGGGTCTGTGCAGCCCTGCTCGAGAGCCGCGCTCCTGCTCGGTGTGCGAGTGCCCGGCTCTGTCCCTGGCATAGGGGGTTTGCCCGGCTGTGTCCCTGGCATTAAAGATGTGCACTTTCTGTTCCTGGATTTGTAAGCTCTAAGCACGAATCTGTTTCCCTCGCTCGGGGCTGGGGGCTGCAGTTGTTCGGGGTACATTTTGGGCTGCTCGCTGCCTCTGTTTTAAGTTACGATCCTGATGGGAACATGAGGGGAGAGCTGAGAGAGAACGCGTTCCAGGCAGGGCTGCACAGCTCGGGGGTCACACTTCAGGTGCGTTGAAACGCTCCTTAGGGTCTCTCAGAGCTGTGGAGTTCACGAGCCCTGCAGAGTTGTATCTGGGCACGAGGAGAGCCGTTCTTGTGCGAGGCTCTGCCCCGGCTGTGGGTGCCCACCCTGGGGCACAGCCCTGCGGAGGGGCTGGGCTGGCGGCGCCAGGCCTGTGTCCCCTGGAACATCCTTACAGCAAGTATGGCAGGGAGTGTGCATGGCTGAGGGCTCACAAGTTAGGAAATCATCTGCTTCAGGCAATTTCCTGCTTTTGAAAGGCGCCGTTTGTTTCCTCTTGCAGTGAGAGGGTCCGAGGGGCTGTACATGGTGAATGGGCCCCCCAGCTTCACCGAGAGCGCGGCGTTCCAAAGGTACTGCTGCCACTAAAGAAATCATGTTCTGAGATTAGACTATGGAACTGAAAAATGGGTGCTGTAAGCGAGTTCGGAAAAGGGGTGGTTTGGAAGGCTTTGCATTGCTGAGGTCTGCCTGCCAGCTGGCAGTCCCTGAGCAGGTAGCAGGGACTGCTCTGTGGCACAAGGCTCCTCAGGGGCTCAGCAGGAAAGCTGTTGTGTTTGTTTTTGTTAGGAAAACCTTACCTACGGCGTAACGGGTACTCACATGCATTTCTTATTTCTTCAGGGATTCTGGAAAAAATTGCAAAGCTGTTGCTTTCAGCAAGGATGGCTCCCTCTTTGCCTGGTGCAATGGAGAAAAGTGGGTGCATTTTGTTATCTTAATGTTTAGCTTTTATGAAATGAAGGGAATCAGTCATGCCTCATTTACTCTTGTCAGTGTAAAGGCAATTGCTGTTAATGCAAGTGTTTGCATGTACACTTTAAATGGAGTTTATCAGGTTAAATATTTTGTGTTCTTTGCCTATTTACAATGCACCCATTCCCATGCAGTCCAGATATGCATTCTTGGTTTGGTTGTTTTTTTATTCATGGCTCCCAGTACCTGGTCTCTGGAATTAATCTATTAGCAGAGTCCATAATAATGAGTCCATACACCTTGTGAACATCACGAGGTTCCTTTTTTATAGATCAGGTGCATTATAGAGCTCTCTCTCTTATTTAGAGAACTATTTGTGTGTGTTGCAGACAAAAATATGTGTTATGTTTTGACCAGCGGTCACTTTTCTTGGTTTCTATCATGCTTGGGCGTCTGTTTTTAAATGTGCTCTTGGAAAAGTTTAGTAAAATCAAGAGGGGGGTGGGGAAAGCTCTTCAAATTTTGTTACATTGGCCAAATTTGGGGCAGATCTAGAAGAGTCAAATATTTGAACAATTCTCTCAGCATTAATTAATTATTGTAAGCATGTTTTATTGAAATAGTATCTTTTGGTTCCAGAGTCAATGTTGTTAATGTCACCAGAGCTGAGTTACTGCATTCCTTTGATTTCCCAAAGACAGTTTGCCTTGAATTCTCGCCAAAGAATAATGTTCTGGCCACGTGGCAGGGTTATGCAAGTGAGTATTGCACCAGCTGGGGAAGCTTTGTGCCAGCTAGGAGGCTTTGTGCAGGTCTTAATCCATGCCTGTGGCCTGTGCAGTGCATTTGTTGGCTAAATGAGCAGTGCAGAAAGGTGCAGAAGGTTCTGTGGGCAGTCAGAGCACAGTGCAGGAGGGAGGGATGCCATTGTCAGAGCAGCAGAGAGGCGCTGGCCATGCTCACCCATGCTCTGTCAGCGTGCTCACAGATACTCTGTCAGTCAGTCTTGGTTCCTGAGCCTTGGGAAGTGGTGCAGTGTGCCCTGCTGGCAGCATGTGTCCTTGGGTGGGCAGGGCACATGGTATGCTGTTCTGGAGCAGTTGTGACTGGAGTGTTCTCCCTGAGCTTTATCCCCTCCTCTGCCTCCCCGAGGGATTTGAGTTGCTGGGTCTAAGAGCTGCAGTCCTGTCCGAGCAAAGACAGTGGGAATGCTGCCCTGGCAGGGAAGAGCTGGGCAAGGCCAGGCCTTCGGAGCTGGCCAGGCTGTGGGAGACTGGGAGCAGGGACAGGGTGTAGGATAAGAGAAGGCAGAACAAGCTGTCAGCTGTAAAGCACTGACAGCAGCAGGCAGGCTGCGCTAGCCAGGGTAAAGAGGACTGTGCAGAAAGTTCAAAAGCAGTGGAGCCATTTTGCATGCCTTGCAGAGAGAGCTGCGGCTGCCATGGAATGGACAAAATCACCTCATTCCTGTGAGAGCAAAACATTGGAGTGGACAACCTGCCTCCATTGTTTGCTGTGAGGATGGTTTTTGGTTTGGATTAAAAAGCTGTGCAGGTGTTGGTTGCAGCCTTGCAGTGGGGAGTAGAAGCCCTGCACCTCAGAATGTGAATTCTTTCTGCAAACAGACTGAGCTTAATAGTTACAGCAATCAGCATTCATGGCTTTGGTCCCTCAGGGGCAGGAGTTGCATGCTTGCAAGAAGTTCATGCAGAACCATGATGTGGGATGTTGAGGTGAAGCAGATTGAAGCCTCAGATACCACTATGTTTTTTTGCAGCTGCTAAGGATGGCACAGCAGGGGTGCCCAACCTGCAGCTCCATGATCTGAGAACTGGAAAATGCTTAAAGTCTTTTGTGCAGAAAAAGATGCAGAACTGGTAAATAAGCCTTCCAGATGCTAATTGTTTACAAAGAAATGTGGGTTTCAAAGTCTGATCCAGGTAAATGGAGCTGTTAGTGTGGTGTTGGCTTTCAAAGCAGTGCCTGCTGCAAACTGAAAGCCAGAGTCTGTGTCTGTGAGTGTCTGTGTGTAGTTCATTGTAAATTCACTCTCACTTTGCACCACAGAGGAAAGCTGAGCAGACAATAACTTAAGTCCACTGGTATATTTTTGCTATGCAGATGTCATTTATCCACATTAAATGTATTGTGTTTGAACTTACTGGGTTCACAGTACAGGGGAAAGACAATCCTGGAGTGCTAATGACGAGCATAATTTTGTGTTTCTGACTTCTCCCTTAATGTGCAGGTGTCCTTGCTGGGCAGATGATGAAAGCATTTGTGCCAGAAATGTGAACAATGAAGTGCACTTCTTCGAAAACAACAACTTCAGTATGCGACTATTTCTCTACATTTCATTGCTTCTGTAAATGCTGCTTCTTTTGAGGGGTAGTTTTTGTTTTCAGGTTTTTCTTTGTTTCTTCATTTGATTGCCTTTTATTTTAAATACTGCCCACGTTCTATTTCAGTTTGGAGTTCAGAATCATTATGCTTTAATGAAGTGTATTTTCATTTTCTTACTTATCTTTTCACTGACTGACATGACATGAAATGCATCTGATCCTCAATTTAAAAGTCTTGATTCTATATTGTTACTCATTTAATGAGATCCAGGAAGTTGTTTTGTAGAAAATGTGATCTAGGATTACTTCCTTGGGTTGTACATATTCTGTCAATAGACTGCTAAAAATGACTCATTAAAAAATTGGTGGCAAAAATGAAATAGTGAAGCCTGAAGATTTTTACCACGGAGATTTAATGTTGGTGGTAGAATATCTGGAGTCAATAGATGTTGAAAAGGGAATGGGGAAGAAAAAAACAGAAAGATAAAAATTAATTAGAAGAAAAATGTAAAGGAATTAAACAAAACTGAGGGGAGAACAGCAACATGTGGTTTTAGTTTTGCATTCTTTGTTTTGTTTTAAAGCTGATAGAACTTAGGGCTACAAGAGATTGAGTTTCCTGAGAACTAGCCCTGCTGACGTTAACCAAGCTGTGGGAAGCATGGAATGTCAGCCTCAGCAGGACCTGCTGGCAGTGCACATTCCTGGCTGCAGTGGAGCTGTGGGGAGATGCTGTTTGTGGGAAGGGGCAGTGCTGGGCCCTGAGCAGGCCTGTTGGGAAGAGTTATCCCATGGAGTTGAGAGGGGAGAGCCCCTGCCTCTGTGTGGGGGCACCCGAAGGTGACTGAAGCCAGCACGGATAAGGCAAAGAAAATCTGCTTCAAACACCAGCTTCATTCACCTTGGCTTCAGAGGCTGCCTTTGCTTTTTGAACTTCCAAACACTAAGTGCTGGCTTTCAGGCATAGGCTTCATTCAAATTGTCTTTGTAGGTGAAATGGAAAAATAATGGTTGTTTGCCAGAAAAAGAGATCCTTTGTGATTGTCTTTACTGGTCTGTGTTACCCAGGATACAGCCCCATAGAAGGATGTGGTTAGGACATCCAGGTAACATGGTTTGTCATTAACATCAGACATCTGTGGCCTTTTTCTTGGCAGATACCATTGCAAACAAGCTG